GATATAATCCTATATAACTATCACTAACTGGAAGAAAAATTATAGCCATTGTATCATCACGAAAACTACGTCCTATAAAATTAAATAACTTATTAATATATTTATTAAGTAAAATAAGTTATTTGATTAAAAATCAATAAATTATACCTGGAGAAGGTAATCCATGAATATTGGCATAATTAATAATAAAAGTAAGTATATGTAAAATTGTTTCAAATGTTAAAGCATGACTACTTTTTCTTCTTTTATTTCCATGTAATATAGGTTTAAACCCATTTATTTGATAATGACTTCGAATCATCTTCCATTTTTTTATACTTAGTGAATAAATATGAAGAAAAGCTGTTTCACAAATTTCAATTTCATCAAAAATATATTTAATAGTTAAATATTTTTTTTCAGTTTTACTATGATGGGTTTGATCTGAACGTTTCATAGCGTGGAGTAATCCTAATAAAAACATATTTAACTCAGATTTTGGAAGTGATTTTATTGTTTGAAAAGAAAGAAGAGCATTATCATGATTGATTTTGGTTGTATAACATTTTTTATTACAACAGTCAGAATGAAGAATAAGCTTAAATGCCTTTTCATCCTGTTCATTTAAAAGCTTTTCCATTTTACTTTGCTCTTTTTGTTCATCATCATCATCAACATCCATTATATCATATAATTTTTGAAATTTTTCTTTTTGAGCTGAAGTTAAAATTTCATTTCCTTCATCTTCTGATAATTCATCTACGGAATATGCATCACTTTCATCAGGAATTGGAGTGGATTCCGGTTTGTCATTAATTTCTAATTCACCATCATTTTGATATAATGCTTTAAGTTGTTCAAATTCTTTAGATAATGAATTTATTGAATGGGCTTCTATAATTGTAGGATAAAATATTTCGTGAGTGGACTCCATTAGTAAGAAGGATAAGAAGAATGAAAAAAAAAATTAATGCAAATTCTATTTATTTAAATAAAATACCTCCAAAAAAAAAGATTTATTGTATAAAAACATTAAATATACAGGATTGGTAACATAATACAACACTTAAATTGATGAGATGTCAACGCCATTAGCCATATATAGTCTTATGAAAATGATAAGATAACGATGATAACGATAGATAACGATATATAACAAATAAATTTCCCAAAATTTGCAACATAATACCAAAAAAAGATTTTAGACTAATACAGAAATTTCATTATTTTCGTTGAAAATTCACATTACAAATTTCCCGTAGTGCAAAATACCAAAAAAATTATCATTTTTGTTAAAATAATACACTACACTGATGATAATAAGGCTAATAATGATAATAAACCGAATTATGAATAATAATAACAAAAACCAATGTTGGCAAAATAAAACGAACTGTAAATGAAATGAAATGAAAAATAATTAGATATGAAGAACCTAAAATATAAAGCAAAGACAAAATAAATAAAATGGAACAAATAAACGAAAAAAAAATGAAAATACCTTGACTGCAGAATCAAAAGAGCCGAAGAACCTAAAAAGAAAGAAAAGAAAGCATTAGAAACAAAATTAAACCGAAATGGAGGAACGAAGAAACAAAAAAATGAAATAAATACTTTGACTGCAGAATCGAAAAGAGCCGAAGAACCTAAAAAGAAAAAAAAAGAAAGCATTAGTTTAGGAACAAAAGTAAACAAAATAGAGCAACGAAGAAACAAACAAATAAAAAAAAAAGAAAATACTTTGATCGCAAACCCGAGAGAGCCGAAGAACCTAAAAAGAAAAGAAAGCATTAGAAACAAAATTAAAATGAAATGGAGAAACGAAGAAACAAACAAACGAAAAAAATGAAAATACCTTGACTGCAGAACCGAAAAGAGCCGAAGAACCTAAAAAGAAAAAAAAGAAAGCATTAGTTTAGGAACAAAGTAAAACAAAATAGAGCAACGAAGAAACAAACAAATGAAAAAAAAGAAAATACTTTGATCACAAATCCGAGAGAGCCGAAGAACCTAAAAAGAAAGAAAAGAAAGCATTATTAAAACGAAATGGAGCAACGAAGAAACAAACAAATGAAAAAAAAAGGAAAATACCTTGATCACAAACTCGAGAGAGCCGAAGAACCTAAAAAGAAAGAAAAGAAAGCATTATTAAAACGAAATGGAACAACAAAGAAATAAACAAATGAAAAAAAAGGAAAATACCTTGATCGCAAACCCGGGAGAGCCGAAGAACCTAAAATAAAAGAAAAGAAGCATTAGAATAAATAAAACGAAATGGGAAACAAGCAAATGAATATACCTTGACCCGTTGACCGCTTAGTTTAGTTTCCAGTTGGTTTCAATTATCTACTAAGGAGCAATTATCGAAGGAGCATTTATAATTAAAAATCCCAATAAAGTAGTTATGGAAAAACTCTACTATTTGGGCTTGTCAGAGGTCTTTATTGGGAGGGAGTTTTAGTGATGTTTAAAATTATTTATAGGAATTAGTAAAAGACATCGGTGGCGTTAAGCGCACTGGGAGGGGAGCGAAACGGCATTGGCTTTATGCAGGCGCGTTCGTTAGTTTAGTTGGGCTACTTAGTCAAATAGTATCGTGCGATGTAGACATAAATACGTTAATATTTCATATAGCGTGCTCTTTATTTTTTTGCTGTGTTTATTGTTTTATCATGTATTTTAGATAGATACTTTATTTAACGTATATCGAGTCCGGTGCTTGACGTGTAAAGGTTGTATTGCGAGGCGCGAATTCCTTATTAATAAAAAAAAAAAAATCGTACACTGAGTCAGTGCACAAAAACTTTTAATTGGTTGTAAAATTTGGTCCCTTTTCTCAGCACTCATAAATGTTGTAGTACTGTTTTGGAAGTGATCTGCAAAATTGATTGACATTTGCATCTCCTTATTTAAAAACAACTAAACCAGATATAGGGTAACAAAGTGTTACAAGGCCGTAGCGCAACATTTTATTATGCTAATGACCCTTCGATATTAAGTAAAAAATGTTTCTTAGATAAATCTTTATCCATTTGTAATAAAAAATAAATTTTCACTGAAATGTCAATTTGGTCCCTTTTCCCAGCACTCACCCCATATTATCATCACTTAAAATTTCATCTTCACAATCATTTTCCACATCACTTATTTTGTCAACATTAAACAAATCATCGTCATCCATTTTTTTATCATCGTCACTTTTCCATTCTTCAGCACTGCTAACATTATCATTTTTAATTTTTTTGATTTAGAAACTGGTTTAAAATAATTTAGGATTGACTGAACTCCTTGCTTAGCCAAACATCCTTTACCGTTAACATGAATATTTAAAAAAGTTTCATCATAGCGACAATCCAGTTTGATAACTTTGCCATAACGACAAATAACTTTTTCATTCAAATAATATGAGCACAATATGGATGTTTTACAAGTCTTTTTTTACTATATTTCCAAGGTAGCGGCATTTTTCAAGAAAAATGTATACCAATTTTTTTTTTCTGATCCATTTTTTATTTTTACAGAAAAGCAACAGACTAAACTAAAAAAGTATGTGACCCATTAATTATAAGACAATAATCATAAAATTAGAGTATTGTAGTGAACTTGTATAAACAAACCCTCTTTCATAAACAAAATCCTCTATTTGTAAACAAATCCCCTATTTGATCTATAATTTTTGAAAAGTGTGTGAAATTTTTTTAGATAAATGTTTATTTTGCTTTGCTTTATATATACATATATATTTATTTATTTATATAATATTTTATACAAAATAAAATCTAACTTGCTTTAAAAATCATTATTATTATACAAACAAATTTCTATAATTACCAATTGGCTATACAAATTCAAACACATGACTTATCAGAAAATTACATAGTAAGTCTATATAAAATCGGATCCCAGTATTATATATAATGTTCGGGATCCTGGTATAGTTATGCTCCATAGAAGTAATGTAGATACTGCAAGATCTTGAAATTAAGGTAAAGACATGTAGTAACTATACATTCAGCCTGATAATATGGCTTTGAATTCAGGTTTTTGAAAAATAAAGAGAAGAAAAGGACTGGAATGGATATTTAAAAAAATCTAACATTTCTTTTTTTTGGAATTTCAAAATTTAAATAATCTAATAATGTAATAAAATACTTTAATAAAATGAAAAAAAATAAAAAAATGTGATTTAAGAAAATTCTTATTATGATCATCACTAAATAAAAAAATCAGCCAATTAGCTACATCAGTTCCATTGACCTCTATCGGCTTAGCTTCTTTAAGTTAAATCAAACTGCAACTTAAATTTTTTCAAGTTAAACTAAACTGATCAATTTAAATCTTGAAGTCAAACTAAATTGACCTTATCAGTCCAGTTCAGTTTAATCCAGTCCAACTTGAACTTAACAATACTAGTTTTAACATTAATTATTATATAATTTAGGTATGTACAATAATTTATTAGTATTATTAAAAATTACAAATAAAAATATTTAATAAACTAAATTACAAAAAATTATGTATTATAAGATTATAAAATGTAAATTTTTTAGAGAATTACAGTATATCTAATAAAATTATAAAAAACCAAAATAAAATTACAATAAGTTATATATTATAATGTTATAAAATATAAAATTTATAGAGAATTATGCCTAATAAAATTACAAAAATTTATGCATTATAATGTTACAAAATGTAAAATTTTTAAAGAATTATGCCTTATAATTTTACAAAAAAACTAAAAAATATAAATATTCAAAATATTACATTTAATAAGATTACAAAATATTATAGTTTGCAAAATTACATAATATTACAGTTTGCAAAATTATAAAAAATTATATTTTGCAAATCTATATAAAATTACATTTTATAAAATTATAAAAATATTATAATATATAAATCTTTATAGGCCTTATAAGTTTATATAAATCTACAATATAAAAGAATTTTAGAGATTACACCATATTTAGTGAATTAATTGGATTTCAGTAAAAGTAAAAAAGAGTTGATAATAAACTATTTCTTTTATCAAAATATTTGTAAGTAAGTTTAGATCTTTGTGAATAAATGATATTACAACAATATAATAAGTTTTGCAATAAAGTTGCAAAACTTAATTTTTATTCTTTTTGTAAATTATAGTTTCTTTGCTGTATTAAATACTAATAAATCTTAAAATTGTAACTTTGATATTTTTTTTTTTTCTCTTTATAAATTTTGAACTTATAGGTAAATTGAAAAATGAAAGTAATAAGTTTTGCAAGTTTTGCAAAATATTTGTTAATTAAAAGTATTACTAATATTTTTTTTATTTATTTTTTAAATTTCAGGTTTAGAATATATTAATGTACTTGAAATATAAATTTTACAATAGAATATTACAGTATAAAACACTTTTTTTATTTCTATTAATTGGAAATGCTAAACTAATATTTCTTACTATTTCTTTTATAAGTTTTAGCTTTAGATTTGACTTTAAATTTTTGTAAAGTTATAATATATTTTAAAATATTTTTTTAAAACAATTATTAATGTTTTTTGTCTTCTTTGTAAATTCTAACCTTGATTATCAGTAAATGAACTTTGAATAGTAAGTTTTAATTTTAAACTTACTTTTTTTTACTTTATTTTTACTATTAAAGACATTTTTAACTTATTTTATCCCATGTTTACTAATGGTTACCTGTGATTTTTCATAGTGATATTTTTATAATCATGAAAATATTAATATTAAATGCAGATCATTTTAATATTTTATTATTACTGCGGAATTAATTATTATTATTTATGTTACAAATAAAAAAGATGATTTTGTATTTCAAAGTTTAAAAGTTACATTATTAAAATGACAATTATTAAAAATAGGAAATTTTTTATCATCATCAAAGGAAAATTCAACAGGTGTGTCAGCAATATTAGTATTTGTTGAATCATCAAGAATTGAAGATCTTGATGGTTCTATAGCATGAATTAAAGTGTTCATAGCAGCAAGATATTGCTTTTCATTTACTTCTTTATATGCACGAATACCTTAAACACTTTTGTGACCTATTACTTCCATTATAGCATCCTTTGGTACATCAGCATCCTGAAGAATCTGCGCAACAGTTTTGCAACCAGAATGATTTGTTAGAATGCCAGGCAGAAGATCTACTTTTACTGATTTTCCAATATCTTTCATAAAATTTCCTACTCTATTAACTCCACAATGAGTTTTCTTGTACTAAATATAAATACCACTTTCACATCAAAGTGTGTTAACTTATAAGTAAAAATTTTTAGGAGCACCACTGGGTCATTTTGAAAGATACTTATTAATATCTGTAATTACTTCTGAATTTGAAGGAAGATGAATATCCTGTACTGAACTCCTTTCAATTCCACGTTGATTATTTTTACTGCGATACTGGCAAAAAATTAAACTACCATCAGGTGGAGAATGAAATTGATCAACATAAAGGCCATGATATTCTTTACCTCAACATGCAAAATTAATTGCAATTCAAAAAAATACATGGTATAAAAGACCCTCAGGAGTGCTTGGATTAAGAAATTCATCAGCAAGAATTTCTTGAACTTGTTGTGCAGATAATGCCATTAATCCTTCTTTTTTATCAAACCTGTTTTTTTGCAGATATTTCATTTTGCCATTTAATACAGTCCATAAATCTGGAAATTCATATTTGTCATGTAAGTTAATTCTATGAATTAGAGAAATTTTTACTAAATGACGATTAATAGCATCAACAGCTTGTTTTATTGATTTTGGTCAGAATTATTCTTTTTTGACATTTGAGCAGACTTGCTTTTCAATTAGTTTGAAATCTGTAATCTGTTCAAGTGATATAATATATTTGTATTCTTTATGAAATTCTTCAAACTGAATAATCCAATTTCAAGTTGACTTTTCAGTATTTGGAACTTTAGCCTTCTAACGATAAAAATCAAGTTTTTCTTTAAGAGATAAAGTTGGATTTGAAGTATTTTGGGAATAGAATCAACCTGAGCCGGAGTAGAAGCTGTGACTTTTAAATTTTTTGCACTAGTAAATACAGGTCTAAAAATTTGGAGTTCTTGCAGCTTTTTCTTGTGTTTTTGAAGCATTTTAATAATGAATAAATTTTTAAGAGCAAGTTTAGACGTAACTTACTTTTTAAATAAAATAAACTTTTTATAATAAAAATGTAATAAAATAAGCTTTTTATAATTATTTTTATCACAGGACGTTAGTCTCCAGGGGATAAAACAGTTATTTCATGGGAATATCCATGAAATAACTATTACTTATTTTATTTTATTTTGTAGATTTTTTAATAGGATATCAATTAGAAATGTTAAAATCTAGTTAGATACTATTCCTATAAAAAATTTTTGTCAAATACATTCCAATTTTTTTTTGAATTTATTAAAAATACTTTGATTATACTGATAACATTCTGATTATATTTTAAGTTAAAATTTAGAAGTTTTAAAAGTATTAGGAAATACTCAGAAAAAATTTTGAAGATATTCTGATTTTGTATTCAAATTGAAAATATTCTAATTATATTCTGATTATTTAAAATATTTTTATTAACAATATATTTCAATAAGGTGTAACCTTCTCTATTAATGATAAATATTTGGTTTTAAAACAATTTACCCTATATTTGACCTTAATTAGTAATGATAATCATTAGCAATTAGACTTCTAAATTAATTAATTTACACTTTTTTTTTTAACTTTTTAAACTCTTCTTCATTTTTTTTTCTCTTCCCTTCATCCTTCCTTTTATCCTTTCTTTTTCTTTGTCTTTTCTCTACCATTCCTTTTTTTTTCTTTTTCCTTTTCCACCTCATATTTTCTGTTGAAAAAAAATCCTAAATAAAACTTTTTAGGCCATTTTTTCGGTCTCCTTAAATGCGAAATTTTGATAAGTTTTTCAAAATTTTTTTTATTTTATTTCAACAAATTTTACTAGCAGTTTATCTTTTTTCTTTTTAATTATTAATTTAATAAATGTTTTATTAATATTTCATCTTTTCTTTTTTTTTAATGGACTAGCCTTAAACATATGAAAATTTGGCATGAAATCATTAATCTTTAAATAGCAGGAAGAGTTTTTAAATGTGTAAGAATCTGGCAAGCCATTTTGGACATTAGTAAAGTATTTTAACAAAGAATATTTCATTTTTTTTCTTTTGTTCTTTGAAGTATCTAAACATGTAGGATTGTAAAAAAATTCAGTAAGTGGATATTTTTCCTTTGAATTAATTCTATTTTAAAATGAAATAATTGCTTTATTTTTAGATAACTACTGATTTCAAAACGCTGGAATCATAGTAAATTTTTGGAATTTTTCAAAAACTAATTTAAAAAAATGTTTATTATTGCAATACTTTATTATTTCTATTTTGTAAAGATCTGGTCAAACTTTGATTCTGAATCTTAAGTAAGTTTTTAAAAAAAGTCTGAAACTTTAATAAAAAACATTAGTATGACATATTTATTTCTTTTTTATAGATCTTGGCATTTTATTTTTAATCTATAAGCAAAACCTAATAAGTTTTCTAAGCTGAAACCCTTTAAAAAAAATTAAGAAGCTTTTATCCAAGATATCAATCCATCTCTTAAATGCGAAAAATCACACCACCTAATAAAAACTCAAGAAAGTGGTATCACTACCTATTCTAATTTCTAAGAACATCACCTGATATACCAATATCTCCAAAAATGGATGAAAATACTTTGCTAATATTCAATTTCTGAATCACTTTCACATACTGATATTGCTATTTCATCCACATTTATTTCTGAATGATCATCAAGTATAATTCTTACTAAAATAAAAACTAATGATACCTAATTATCTTTGTGAGAAAGAAAAAGAAGGTCAACTAAAATGAATAATGTGCAAATTCAGAAAAAGTAACCAAAACAACTAAGGTTATACAACACTTGTAAGAAAGCTAGGAAAAATGATGGAGAACCTTATTAATAAAGAGGGTTCTATTAATGTATCAATTTATTTACGTATTATTGAAAACTACATAGTTCACATTTTATAGATAATATCCTGCAAATATAATTGAAGTGTATTTTGATTGCATTCAATAAAATTTACTGAATACTTTCAGATAATATCTGTGCAAATCATCTGATAATATTCCATTTAAATTCATAAATTTACTGAGTATAATTTGAGTGTTTTTGGGTAATAACATAAAGTATTGTTCTGAAAAATGATCACTTTTTGGAATGGAATCATAATAGTAAAAATCAGAACATTTTCAGAATACAAAAACCAGATAAAATTCAGAATATTTTTGTAAAAAATTTTTTATAGGCATAATAGATTTATATAATTTTAGTATAGAATTTAGTATAGATTTAGCAAAAATTTCAAATGTATTTTATTGATATAATAAAACTGAATAACATTTAACAATAAAGTAATTTAATATTATTTAACAATAATAATATAATGTTATTTAATACAATAAATAATCTTATGTTATTTTATTATAAGATAATAGTCATTAGTGATGATAGTTGTAATTTAATTATATCATTAATAATCAATGTTCAATTATTATTGATGTATATCACATTTTATAAATAATGTGATATATATCGATAAAATGATATATATTGCTATATATCACCTGTAAAAATTTTCTGATGTAGTTATCATTAGATTCATAAAATCATTTTGATGGGAAAAAATATTTCCTTTTTTAGAAATTTGCATGTAATAAATCCGAGGTTGTTACAGATGAAACGTGTAATAGGATGTTACAGATACATTTTTCCTAAAAATAAATAATAATTTGTGTAAATCAATAAAAATATTTATTATTTTATTTCTCTGATTTAAATTTGAGAAGTATATAAGAAATAAAATCTTTGCTGTAAAGAATCTCATTAAAACAGATTTCACGCTCAAATTTCCATTCCTAACATTTCGCGAGCTTTAGTTAACATCATGATAGCATCTGTCCCTTTATATACATCATAAATTGTTTCCCAAAAAAGTTTTTCCTCTTCTTCCTCGGTTAAATGATCTTTTGGTGCTGCAGGCAAATTATCAGTGTTATTAGGATCATAATTGGCAAGGTTTTCCTCTATCCTTTTCTCCGCCATGTTTGAAATAGCAATTAACCCTTCATGTAATAATTTCAAACCTTCTTCTCTCTGGTCATAACTTATATAAAAAGGGTACTTTGTATCCGGGCTACTTTTCTTAGAAGTATTGGTGACATCATTATTAACGCTTTCTTTGATGAGAACATCACGATAGGATAATTTTGCAGTATGGCTTGTTGGGGAGACTTTGACTTTTCCATCAATAAGAAAGTTAGCTTCATCTCTATCAACTTTTTCTTTCACAAGGACATCGACTTTATCTTTGGAAAGAAAATATGTTAAGGTAACTATGCTAAATTTTAAATAAAGGAAAGAATTATGATAACAATACCTGAATTCAATTCTTCTATTTCATCATCACTTGTAAAGTCCGTAAAACTATCTTTATGGTTGTTGATCAAGTGTTGGCCTAGTGCAACAGGAGTATCAAATCGGGTATTACAAACTGAACACTAAATATTAAAGAAAAAAGTTAATATTGTCGTTCTAGTACCTACAAAGCAAGCAATGTAACGGATAAAATAGTTTTTTGAATCAACCTTAAATGGTCTTTGTTGAATGTGCTTACGTAAATGTTCTGTAAGATACAAGATACAATATAATTTCTACAGTATCGGCGCCAAAAAATACTTGCAAATTTTTTATACCTTCTAACATGATAATACTATTATGAGATTTCTTGCAATCTTTCCACGGACATATGTAAATATGATTTCCCGGAAGAGATTTGTTGCAAGAATTAATGTCGTGTTTAGCGACGTGTTTTCTGAGTTCCTTCACGGTTTTAAAGTACTGTGGTTTGGAATGAGAATCTAACCATTTGCAGATAAATGGCATTGAATTTGTACTTTCAGACATGGTAGCGTGGTTGGTGTTGCCAGTTTGCATAATTAAGTGCATAATTAACTTCACGTAATTATATCCAAGGATCTCTATAAAATCACCCTTATAAAAAGTGGTTGATTATAAGTAGTTGTACAACGTCTTAAACAATAAAAATTCGGTAACCACCTTGGTGTTTAATATATTCTCCGGTTCATCAATTTTTTTTATCATATTGTTAAACTTATCCGTCTTTAAATTATATAAATTATCATTTGATCGGTTTTTAATTTGAACATTATATGTTATTCGTCAACAAATAATAGAAATCAATTAGTTTAAAAATAATTGAAGATATAGACTCCGAAGTGAAGAAGAGCTTTAAATGAAGAACGATGCTTATGATGAGATTAGGTTTAAAAAAATTTTAAGAATGCTTCTAAGAAATTTTAAATTGTTGGTTAATTTAATTAAAACCATTCAATTTTTCAAAACAACAATCACCTGTAGAACTTCAACTCGCAGTATTAATAAGATTAAGGTCAAGAAATGATATATTTTCAATTTGTTCTAATTTTAGAATAGCAGTAATTCTGTTTTGCAAATGAGTTATAAAAGCTATTATTTCTCATAAAATAAATGGCCAAGTGGTCAAGTTAGGGAATTTGTTCATGAAGGATTTAAAGCAATTGGAGGTATTGAAGATATTATTGGGTCAATAGATGGGACTCATTTCATTTTACGAAATGCTCCAACAAAGGACAAGAAGTTTATTCTACCAGGAAGAAAGGATATGCTTTGCATTGTTAGAGTATAGTCGATAATAGAGGCATTTCTTAGATTATGATGTTGGTTGGCCTAGTTTGAAATAAGTGTTGGCGAAAAAATTATTGAAGTCTGGACGAGACAAATTAAGGTATGAATGAGATATATTTTTTTTGGCTGTAGCTGTGCATCAACCCAGAGCTTGCAAACTAATGACTATTTTTTCGTATAGATTTCTGAAGACCTTACTAACATCACGGAATGCAAACAACATAATTTTCGATCAACTTTATTAAGGTTATGCTATTCACATTTTGTGACACTTCATATCTTGTATAACTGACTACCATTTTATTCTATCCAGAATATCGGCTATTAGGACTAAGGAGATTAATTCATTTTTTTTCAATATCAAAAACGAGTAGAAAGATTAGAGCAGATAAAAAAAAACTTGGCTATGTAAATATTATGTGCTGTATTTAAGATATATCTACATGTTGGAATTTAACGTATTATGCTTGGGATCTTTTCTTTTTAAAGATGCTATTATCCAACTTAAAGCAGATTTATGTATATCAACTGATCAGAAAAGTAAGAAAAATGGCAATAGATTGAAAAAAATCTTACTTTCTGATGAAAAATGGAGTCTGTTAGATCAACTTATTGATATATTAATGCCATTTGAGAAAGCAACTTGTGAATTTTCTGGCAATATATATGTAACTTTAAGCCAAACCATTCCAACTATTATTAAGGCAAGAATTTTTGATTTAACTTCTGAAGTACCATAAAATATTGATGAGTTTTTGGATGAAGATACTGTATTTAACTCTGAAATTGTAGAAACATGACCTATTGATTTTGATCATAATTAAGTTATAAGTAATATTGCAAAGAAAGTATTTCAATTAAGAATTTATTAAATACAACAGGTGTTTTGGAGAAAGTAAAGCAAAATATATATAATGCACTAATTTACTACTGGAATATTCCAAACAATCTTAATTTAATGGCAGCTTTATTTAGGAATAGATGGTTAGATCAGACCTGATCTGGTCTTGATTCTAAGACCTATAAGTCTTATTGAATGGATTTGTGGATTAGGTTCTGTTAGGACCAGTTCTGAACCTAATCCCAGGACCTAATTCTGAATTAAGTTATTTATATGGGGAAACCTGCTGCACAAGTATTACACAAATTTCCAAAAAAGGAAATTTTTAGAGTGTGTCATTAATTCTGGCTGAAATTATTCTTTTTGTATTAAATCTTACAATTAATCTAAAATTAGTGTTAATTTCAATCAAAATGATATCAAATCTGTGACATTACATAGTAATTGTAACACTTCACAAGTCGCTGTAATGACACGTTATTGTAAAACTTATTTGTTACCTTTATTTGTCACTTGTTACATGTGTATTATCTTTAATTAATTTTCATACTATTCTCACAGTATAATACTTTGCTTACTTTATTTACTTCGTTTTTTCTTTACAAGTTTTTTTTTTTATCTTTTACAAATTGAAGTATTATTATTATTGAGATGGATGTATTTGAATTGAATATTTAAGAATCCATTATTACATTTATGACACCTCATGAAAGTATGTAAGTTCTTTATTTATGTACTTTGAGTAGGTATAATATCATTTTTTATTCTGGAACATATAAACTCAGAAGAGAAATCAGAAAAAGTACACCAGGATGATGCTAATATAAGTATATTGTGTTTCTTATGATATACCTAATTTATTTTGCAATATTCATACATTTATTTTTTTATATAGAACAGGTTGAGCTGAATGATACAGTATCTTAAAACCTAGAAAGTGAAGGTATAATTATTAATTTTTTTCATGTAAAGATATAACAATCGGCTAAAAGCAATAACAAACAATATCACTTTACCTTAAAAATTCAACTACAACAAATCTTTCTATAGGTGATACCTTTAAGTCGTAGGAAGATGTAAACAGAATTATGGAAGCCTATGGCAAAAGATATGGATTTATGATTATAAAGAAACGATTAGCTCAGTGTGAGAATAGGAATATTAAACATCATAACTTTAGATGTGAATTTGGCAGCCGTTATCATTCATAAAAACAAGTTGATATTAATAGACATCGAGATTGTAAATCAAAACGCCAGCAATGTCCATGGAATGCAAATTTCAATTGCCCTCAAAACTTTCAAGTCGTATCTTTTACTACTTTCAATAATTTGCACAACTATGCGTTATTTCCTACTGATCCTGAATATTATTCATCAAAATACTGTTGCATTTCTAATGATGTTCTTAAAGAAGTCCAATTTCTTACTGAACATGGAAATTTACTGATTACCACTCAACAAAAGTTATTGAAGGCAAAATTTCTGACTATATCTATTCTCAACTGTGATCTCTCTAATGCGATATAAAAATATAAAGTTAAACCAGATGTAATCCATGATACATCTCATTTACTAAAAATACTAATTGAGCAAAACCCTGCCTACTATTAAAATAGGTCACTCTATGGCCTAAGGTAAGGTTTATATATAAAACACTTTAAAGATCCTACTATAAAAAGAAATTTTATATTATATTGTTATGATTTTTTTCCTTTTTAGTTAATTAACCAATAGAATTTAAGCAAATCCTAAGGTAAGGTTTCATATGAAAGTAAAATTTCTACTGGTAGCATATCTTAGTAGTAGATGGAATCCTAATTAAGCATAAGTCAAACGATCTCAGATAGTTCATTGATTTTCAGCTTAATCAAAATAAGAGACTTACTCAGGACCCCGAAGAATACATATAATACTGGGATCCAATTTTGTATAAACTTACTATGTAATTTCTTAATAAGTCATATGTTTGAAATTGTATAACCAAATAGCAGTTACGCAAAAAGTCAGATTTTTATTTGTATAACAATAATGATTTTTACAATAAGTAAGATTTTCATTTTGTATAACGGATATTAGAATTTTTTTTATATACGTTTAAAATTTTTTAGTTTTTTTTTATTTTTTGTTTAAGAAATTTTTAAGATATTTTTTAAAAAAGAGTTTTTTTATTTGTTTTAAAAAACACTTGAAATATTTTTTAATAGAAATTGTTTTTTGTTTAAGAAGTTTTTAAAGGTTCGTTTTAAGACATTTTTTTAATAAAAATGAAGAAATTTTTTTAAAATTCATTTACAAAATTAAAAAAAAATACATTTTATTACATATCTCGGCATCTAGTGATCATAGAGAAATGAAACACAGCTTATTGGATTCGCCTCAATACAACGAGTCGAATGGTGGTAGTTTCATATTTCTAGGCGCGATAGATGCCGAGTTATGTGATAAAATGTAAAAATGCACAGTAGACGAAAATACAAAGTGCCGATGTGTGGTATAGCTCAACATCTATCACACCTAGAAACACGAAACTACTACCATTCGATTCGTCTTGTCAAGACGAATCCAACGAGCTGTGTTTCATCTTTTTACGATCACTGGGTGGTGAGATATTTAACAAAATGTATTTTCTTTTATTTTGTAGTATACACCCAAATTTTTGCATAAAACTTACTATATTATACATATTGGGCATCAATATCTAAGTATTTGTTGGAATTTTTAAATAGTTTTTAATAATATTTATTAAAATTTTCAATAAAATTTATTTGAAATTTTTCTTTAAAAATTTTTTTTTTATATAAACTCAGATTTATAATTGTAT